TCTGTGTAGGAAGTAAATTTTTTCTTTATTCACCAGTTTTAGAAAATAGAGCTGTATAAAAATAAATTTGGACAATGAAAAGGCGAAGATACTAGTGCAGCTTTAAAGCTACTGACAGTAACAACAGATGGCAGTTTTGACGGAAAATGAATCCCACTTCAATCCTCATAGTCAAGACAAAAAATTTGCTGGAAAAAAGTTCTGAATCTAGCTTCTCTGCACGAAATCATAAAAAGAAACGACTAAAGATGTCAAAAATTATAGTGTAAATCTTGTTATCTGTTCCCACTAGGAAAACTTTCACCGCAGAAAAGAACAGCCCGCTGGTTGAAAAACAGAATGCTATTGAGATATCAGAACTGTTTCGTTGAAAGAAAAAAAAAAACTTTTTTTTTCTTACAATCCAGTAAAATCAGCGTTTTGATCATTGCAATGACGGCAAATAAGGAACCGCTGATGCAACCGTACAGGTTGCGTTCAGCAGCGCACCGAACTGTCGCTTAGTTTTTATGTCGGTTGGAGAGAAAAATAGGTATAATCAAAGCAATGCACTGCAAACGTGGTTGTTTTTCATGGCACCAAATAAGAAACTGGCACTGAGCTTTTATTCATACTCAGCCCCATCTCCTTAGTTTAAATTAACCTATGCATTAATGAAAAAGAATTTTCTCGAACTTGCTGTCTCATGAGCGGCGCCCCACCCCAACAAACCTCATTTCTCTCGACTGTTATTAATAGCTTTTTTTGAAAAACCGAAGCATGTCTACAACAGAGGTCTCATCAGTAATGCCAGAGAATAAATAGCAAGATGAGCGAAGCAAGAGCCAGATGCAGTCACATCAAACGACCTTGATACTGTTCAAAGTGCCGCATTAATTGCTGCACGTCAAAATTTCAAAAATGAAATTTAACCTATAAAATCCAGGAAATCCAATATTAAACTTGGTACTTATTAACTCTCAGAAATAGACGACCTTAGCAATAACGTTAAATGTTCTTCCTAACCTAAAACAATCAGAAAATAATAGACTAAAAGTTTTACAACCCGTATTTTACTGAGTTCTCCTCCAACAACATTTTCCAAAATAAATGCACTGTAATCAATGATGAAGAGGAAAGTTAAATTTCATACTTCAGACTTTTAAACATAATAGCAAACAAGATGTCAAAAGATGTTTTTTTCCACTCGTTTCAAATTTTATACCACTTTCTTTTCATAAAGATTCTCAACTCGCCTTTTTCTTTTGCTAATAAATTTTCAAAAATTATTACACAGAAATGCCAAATCCGACAAAAAATTTTAAGAACCGACGCGTACTTAAGAACAACATCGATGGCATAAATAACAAAAACCTACCAAAGAGTTCTTTTACAGGTAATATATTTGATAATAATAAAAGTTCTAGCCTTTTGACCCTATCACAGCTACTAGTTCAAAATGCAAGAATCTAAAAATGAAAGCAATTTCTATGTTCAGAGTTTAAAGATTTTATTTTATACGAAAAACGATAACGGATCACAATAAACGAAAAATTCTAGAACAGTTGACACGTAGAACTTTCAAAATTTCCAAACCTGACTAATTACAATATGATGAATTCCTTACACTCAGCCGTGCGCAAAACTCTGTGCATTTAATACACTCTTTGAGTCAGAAGTATTCGCCTAATCATCGCACGTTAAGTCTCAAACATTACGACTAAACGTCTCATAAATCAAAATTACTCCTAAAAAAAAGGCCGCGACTAAAAAGCTTATACTTCATCGTTCACGTACCAAAATCCACTGCTTAATAAAACGCCTCATCAGCATAAAAGGCAAAAACGTTACGCGACTAAGGCGGTAGACTTTCAATGTAAACGACTACAACAAGTCGCATTATCGCTATCTAACTGTGATGCACAGAACCGCTTATCCGAAAGGAGAACGTCGACCAAATTAAGCGTGTGACAGATGCAGTGGAGAGTTGGGCGGTGAGCTTCTATGATATCCGGCACCAGTTAAAACTACTGTGACTTCTTAATACAGCATTCTCAGCTCAATAGATTTGAATGTACGGAAAAACTTGATCAATTAAACTTTGAACTTCAAGATAAAAGTAACTGAAGTCAATCTGACTGAAATTGTACTAAATAAACGCTAAAAAATAGCAGTAACTATAAACAATAAAAACCAAATAAAATGAGACATAACACAAAAAGTAAGGTGAATGTCAAGGATTTGCATTGAGCAGGAATGCTAAGCTTAACATAAATTACCACAGGAAAAAGTGCAGGAAATAGGTCATTACCAAGCTATCCCGTCACTTGGTACGGGGTTGCTTAAGTGCTGCAGTTTTTCTTGTCCTGATATGTTGAATTAGCAGAGGATCCACAATTGACCATCTCTGATTTCTTTAAGGTTGCTTCCGCTGGAACTATGAAGACGCGTCTTCCGGCTTTAAATTCTGTATCGGTGACATCACTGTAACAGTGCTAAGAAAATAAGCGAATAGCAGATCTCAGAATCATTTTAATTTTCTAATTTTTGCTTTCTGCCACTGAAAATTAAGTTTATTAGCATTTTAAAAATTTACTCGAATTAGTAAAAGATAACATAAAGCCTAGAAGTGCAAGGGAAAAAAAAAAGGGAAAAAAAAGTAAAAAGAACAATTGTTATATCATAACAGATAATACTAATTAAACATCTGTGTCTTATTTGCTTGTCCACAATGCAAATTTCCGTCATCATCATCTATTAATGGTCAACAGGGATCGATGAAAGTCATTAAACCAAATAACAGTAGAAAAAATCATTATTAAACAAAAGTTTGCTATAAAATTAATAGCATTGATCCCATTAATTAAAAAAAACTTTTTAGAACATACTTTTAACAACCCTCTTAAATAACAGGTTTTTGAAAATTTAAACAAGTTAATGAAAAAGATGGCAACATCAAAATTGAAACTAATGTTTACAAACAGTTCAAACGGATTCCGTTCAGACGACACTTCAACCAGTGTACTATATTTTTAGGGTTACACATCTTGAACTTTGCTTTACCGCGATTTCTTAGCTGTATGGAATAATAAAATTTCAAAAATTACTTTGTGCCTTCAATCAGAATTGCCGGAAGCAGGATTCTGTGAAATGACTGATAGTCTAAAAGAGTATATTGGAGAGGAAAAAACTGACGATGTTTGCAAATTGGGTGCATAATTAAAATAAGACAGGAATGGACAGGAATGTTGGTAAGTGTTGTGTTAACTATGATTTCTAATTTATTTTCTGGTCAACTTGTTATCCTGTACCTTCTAACCGTTTTTTACTTTATTTTGCTTTGCTTTACAAAAAGATTTTCTCATGTAAATTGAAAAAAGAACGTCTGCTGTGTTGTAAAAATAGGCGATAGAATGGAGTTTTTTTTTAACTTTCGCTTATCTCTTCATTGGTTTAACAATGCCAATTATGGATAATCGAATCAACCAAATTGGTAATCTGAAGTGGGTTTGTCAGTCAGTGAAGGACTAAAAAAAAAAATAGTGCAGCAAGAAGCAAAAAACAAAAGAGTGTTGTAATTAAGTGCAAACAAAAGTACCTTGTTGAGTGATTTTACAAGGTGTTGGACATTTTTTTTACCATTCCAGAAAGCAAAAATGTATATATATGTGATTGTTGAAACCAAAAAGTTAGAAATTCACAGAAAACAGTAGAATGTACGGTGTTCGTCAAGAATTATTGCTTTTTATTGTTGCTTCGTTGGCTACTATAACGATCACTCAAAGAACGGTATGATTTTTTTTTGCTTGTTCTTTGCTTTTCGCTAAATTGTTGCTATTCGGAAATAAAAATTTTTTTCAATTTGATTGTAGATTTTTTTTTCAGACTTAGTTTAGAACTACAGATATACCTTAGCAAAAGACTCAAACTGCTTAGATACTGCTGAAAAAATATTGCTTCAAGTTTTAGTGAGTCTTAAATACAACATATTTTTAACTGTAACGCTTTCCTTATTTTTGTAATTTCTAATTGTACGAAAGTATCATTGCTTTTTTCACAAAACGTTTTATTTATAGTGGGCTTATTGAAAAAAGAAAATCTTGTTTCAACACATCTTTTCTATCTTGCACGAAAATATTAGCAATCAGTGAACCACATGTTGCTTTTATAACATTCCAATGATTCAATGATGATTATGGAAGTAAACTGTCAATTGCCAAAATTAGTCTGCTAAAAGTTAACTGTCTGAAGCAGAGCAAGTGTCTTTTGAAGTTTCTAACTCAAAAAATACATCTAAAAAATTATTTTTCACTCCATCTTTTGCAGTATTATTACTGCAGCTATTAGTTCGCAAAAAAGTTTAATAGTTTTAGTGGCTAACTTTTTCTGTAATACAGCTTTTTATTAATGTTCTTCTTCAGGTTCCTACAGCAAACAGTTTTGTTACTTATGCAAATTAAATAATGAAACTGTAGTCTCATAGAACAGTACTGTAAACCTGATTACCAGCCACTTTCAAAACAACCTTTATGTCGGCAAAAAATTTTTGGTATTTTTAGAGCACACTTTTGGCTCTAGTCAAACCATTTGTATCTGATCACACCTCTTTATCTTTTTTAATTTTACATCCTTTAAGGGAAAATTTTTATGCATTATAACATACAGCATATTTACATGAAAGTTTCATCTCGTTGTTATAAATATTAAAACAACATTTACCCTACACATACTCTTTTCCTGTAAAGATTAAAATGTTTTCTTTGTGAAAAAAATTCTGTTTCGAAGAATAAAATTTTTTATTTGTGAGGAAGACATTTTTTAGCCATTTTTGCAATTTTTTAAGATTTATAATGCATAATCCGGATAAGAAATATAATAATTACAAAATTTAAAGTTATACGTGAAGAGAGAGGAATTTTTAGTGGCAGAGTACGAAGAACTACTGGTTTCGGAATCGACGACAGAGTTGCACTTGCACCGTCAAAAATGTACCTCCTCGATGTTCGTGCACACCATTAGCAATGCAAGGCTTTGCTGTACAGTTAAACTGTGCATGTGATCCACCTCAGGTTCCCAGGTGTTCCTGTTCACATCCGCTGCATACGTTACCTAACCCTCGAAAACGTTGCACAGATAGCTGTCTGTCTAGTTGTCAAGAAAAATGTGAAGCTGATATCTATTTACGTAAACACTGTCCTAAGGTTTGTACACTATCTTGTTCAGAAGCTTGTGGAACAGTCGCCGATGATTTTTCACTGAACAATTTGAGTTCATCAACATACAACAGTCCATCAGTTCGAATTGCCAAAGCTCAGGATATCAATTTTATTCCTGTGGTAAATGAATCCGCTGGGATAACAACTGATACGGTACTGCTAACAACTTCTTCCACACCAGTCATTCAGAATTTTGTGGAACATGTGGAAAAAAAGAATGAGCTAAAAGTTGGTCAAATGAAAACACAAAAAGCAGCTGACGAGGACAGTGCTGTGCAGCAGTTGATATCCATAGCTCCACAAATTGGTAAAGCGCTGCTTCTGACGGCTGAAGAGCAACTAGAACGTATAATGAGCCGTGCTTTTGGTAAATGGAATGAATCAAAATTAACACTAACACCTCAACAACGTCGAGATGCTGAAAAAGTATTTAAAGCAATAGATAGTGTCGGAGAATTACGAAGTCTTATCTTGGATCCTCACACAGCGTCAAATCAACGCAGTAATCATTCACTAAATACCGTTGCGACTACCACTACGGAGTCAATGCCCGAAACGCAACCGCCCCCGTTAACATTACCGACTGGAGGTTCAGTTATTCGCCAAAGCTACTCCAGTTATGGTAGGTACGCAAAACATCCAGATGCTGTGGATTCAAGCAAAAATTCAATAAGTCGTGCGGAAAAAACACTCCCGCATGTACTACCAACGTATTCGTTACCGACAAGTAGTACAGTAAACAAGACACTAGAAAAGAGCACCGAGGAAGAAGCTTCCAAATGCAGGGCACCATGCGAAAGTTCCTGTAGACCACAGTGCGTTACGCAAGGAATCCCGTTAACGCGTTGTATTCTGTACTGCGCTACTGCATGTATGGAAACATGTAGGATTAAAGGATTCCATTAATTATTATAGAACTTGACAGTCGTGCCTCTTCTTCTACGCTCTGTGCATCTTCTGGTTTTTTCACTGATACTTATTTTATGTCAGGGTAGTGGAGAGTTAAAAACACTGTGTGCCTTCTCGAGTGGCAATTATTTAAAGTTGTCAACTAGAGCAGTAGCTGTCTGCAAAAATTGCATCTGATATTTCAAATATTGTAAACCGATAGCCGAAAAAGTGGTTCGGTAGTAGAAATGCTGATTTTTGGTTCTACAACAGTTTCTTTTTGTCAGCCGATATAATGTTTAGAAGGCGAAAAAAACTTGAACAATTTTGAACAGTTTAATAACTGAAAACGATATCATAGCAGTTTAGTAAATTTTTTCTTTTGTTGCTTAATAATAAGAGCATTTCAGGTGAAATGCGTACTGAAGAATTAAAAGTTCCAAATTGTCAGTGTATATTGGATTTAGAAATGTTATAACATTGTTGTATACGTTGTTAATAATAGTAATATTTATGTTAATTATCAACTGTGCCCATTTGGGAAGATGTTACTACAATTTTGCCTTATTTTTTTTTTTTTCTGTTGCAAAATACAGTATTCTTCATTCTTTATTACAGACTTTACTGTGTGTATTAATAAAAAATGGCGAAAGAAAAATTTAATGTAAATCACATAAACTGTCATCATTACATCTGAAATGAAAGCAATCAATTTGGTGTTTATTAGAATACAATTGAAATTGAGTGAATCTTAGAATTTGAGGTTGATCAGCAAAAGTAATATATTTCTTTTTCGTTTTTTTTTTTACCACTAAACAATAACTTATTAAATATGCCGATAGAGCAATAATAACGGTAACAATAACTGTAAAATATCTACTACTACCAAAATTATTACCACCATCACTACCACCACCACCACCACCACCACAGCGACAACAACAACAACAACAACAACAACAACAATAGCATTTGTCTATATGATCACAGAAAGTATGCCATAGTGGTGGCTGTTTAAATAAATGTTGTTGCTGCCAATGTCTATACTATTTATAGCATTCAATATTATTTGTTTGTTCATCTCGTTTTACTTTAATAAGATTTTTCCTTTTTTTTTTTTGGTTTTTGAAAAGAACTGTTCGAAATGTGCTTACTGTTTAGCCTTTTTAGAATTGACGACACTTTCTTTTTTTTCGTGTTTTTTTTTTCTCTTCATAAGTCTTCAACACAACTGGAATTGACACTTTTTAAGATTCTTTAAAGAAATACGATGTCAACAATAGAAATACAATAGATAAAGTTTAAGTGGCAATTATCTGCAAAGTGAACTGCTGTTGTTTAAATGTAACGTAATTTCTTTTCTGCAGTAATTAAAATATTTGTTTATTAAAGCATTATTACCTGATACATATGCGCTAATCTAGAAAAAAATGGTTATTATCAAACATGTCAAATACACCGAACTTTATGCTTCAGTATGGTTATATACATCAAATTTGGGAAGCATATAAGAAAACAGTCGATATGTTGTTATAGCGTCGTTAACTACTGAATATTGACTTACGAGTATAATTTGAAAATTGGAGGTTCATTTATTCACCAAAGTTACTGCAGCTATGGTAGGCACGCAAAACATTCATATGCTATAGGTTCAAGCAAAAAGTTTTTGATTTGTTCCTGATTGTTCCTAATTCTTTGAAGCTTGGCGATAAACTAAAAATATGTGCTTTTTTAACTTGATTCTTGAACGTAACAGTGTGTAGTTGACATTATAACGCATGCTTATTAAGATTGTCGTCAATGGCTATCGACTATTAAATTTATGTTAAATGAAACACACTGGTAACAAGGGTTTGTTCAAAACTAGCATACGCGTTGCACAACGATTCAATAAAACGCTAAAAATCTGCATCTTTAAAAAATCGAAAAAACTTTAGTACGAGAAATTTTACCGGAAAAAAAACAATGTCATCAACCAGACAATGGTTCCAAAATCTGAAGGGCTGTACAAGGAAGCCTGTGTTTTCAAACTGAAAAATTGACAACGTTTTATTCTTTAACTTTTTTGCAAAGAGGACCAATCATGGTTGTTTGGTAGTGTGATACTGTCAGTGAATGCAGGTCGGTGTGAATGACCTAATTATCCAAGATAACTATAGTGTTTGAGAAAGAAGAAATTTCAGTACGAAGAAGCCAAAAGTATCGTGTAATTTAGTTTCGGAAAAAGAATAAACAACTACACTGTTTCATGAAACCTTTACATTTTTTTTTTCGTCGAGCATTTTTATAAATAATTTTTTAAAACTTCTTATAGTGTTTTATTTAGTTATTACACCAAATTAGCACTAACAGATTAATCTTGACTTTTAAAAGTCCATAGTACGTACTGCAAAAACAGTAGTATTGTGCATATTTGTAATCAGATAATCGTCTACGTCTATGCAGTCTTTTAACTGCCAAATGATATATACACTTCGTTAATTTCAGTTCAGTAACCGGAAACTCTTTTTTTGTTCTCTAAGCAAATAAGCAAATAATTTTTTTCTTTCTTTTTTAAATTTGCTATAAGCATTGCTGCTTTAACAATAAATTTATGTATAATTTTAGTGTTTTAAAAAACTGTAACAGAGCTTATCTCTTTTTTTTTTTTTTTTTTTTTTTTAAGG